GGCTTTCCATTGCCATGCGCTTTTCCGCGCTCCAATCCTGTTCTTGCCTGACACAATCACACGGAGGAAAACAACGCATCAAAGACGTTGATTTCGATCGTCACATATTTTACACGTTAATTGCAGTCCTGACACGCTTGAGCCAGGCATTGCTGCGAAGATAGTGTGGAGCCAAGCCCTGCCAGTACGCTAGCGATGTACGTCGTGTTGAGGTTTTGATTGTCGCAAACGCGGGCGTATGTCGATACAACTGTGAGGTTTGACAAACTCTCAAGGCTTGCAAGTGCTCCATTTTTCTAGATAAAAGCGGCAAGTCAGCATACTACTGTACCAGCACACGAAGCAGAATTAGTTGACTTACGAGAATAGAGAGGTAGGAGCCAATGCTTGTTAGGCTTTCAAAGGCATTCAGATCTTTGAGCATATCATTATTCTGTTCAAAACGATGCGGCGGGTTGTGGGTTGATGAAGAACGCTGTTCATAGTGACAACACGGCCAAGGTTATCCAGGCTAGTGCGCATGTGTGCAGCAACCTGACCTCAATTCGGATAAAGCGCGACACTTGGATCAATCGAGAGAAGGCTCCGATATGTGTTAGCATATCATTGCCCTGGGTCCAGGGGTGCGTGGTGAGACAGTGTTTGAACTCATTCTGATCGGTGAGAGCACAGACACTTGAACACGGGCGAGATTGGCTTACCACAATAGTAATCTGGTCCACTGGTGATGCGAGGTACTGCAAGGGGTTCAAGTTGGGTACCAAAGGATTCCTCTGATCGTCGAGTGCAGGGATTGATCGTTTGCAGATACACCCCCACCCAATAAAAAAAAAAAAAAGAAAAAAAAAAGAAAAAAAAAAAAAAGGCGTCGATGTCAAGCCCCGTGCAACAAATGGAAGCAAAAAAAGTTGCAGGAACTTACATCTATTAGGATGGTACTGGGAGCTTGAGTTAGATTTTCAAGTCCCTCAATGCTGCTTAGCGCAGAGTTGAGCTAAATCGAACCATAAAGCTAAGATGAACATCTCAACTTTTTCATTTGAGAGTTTGCGGTGAAAACGGCCGTGGAAACTGCATGAGGCAACACACCGAAATCTCCAGGTTCACATCTACACGGCTGAGATTGAAGAGGCCCTTTAGGTCGACTAAAGCCAAATTATGCTATGAAAAGCAACCAGGTCCGCAGACGTAACTTAGAGTTGTGAGCTTATCAAGAAAAGACTAAACACACGAGAGTGCTTGCAACGGCACGTATACCTCAAGTTTTAGACTCTGACAAAACGTGAGGGCCTCGAGGGCATCAAGATTTGTCAACCCGAGGTCCTGTATCAGAACGATTGAGTGAGACAAGCTTGAGAGTAGCTTCTGAGAGACATTTTATCATGACAGTTTAGAGTGTAGTTTGATAAAGCGTGACGTACGCTGATGGTGAATGCGGATTTCACAGCGCCCAAGTTTTGCAAACCATTCAAGTTGGGCAGTGCTTGATTCGACTGACGACCAGACCCACATGCGTAAAACGTGAGAAGGTGTGGTGACGAGTGAAGAACAAGCACCATGCCCGGTCGCATGCATGATGGCGAGCCTACGCTAAGCAAGAATCTGCCGTCGACTCTTGTCAAACTGCCAAAACCATCCAGTTGAGTTAACATGGCGTTCCACTGCAAGCGAATGGCAAGAATCTGTGAGCACAGGGCAAGCCAAATGCAAGTGGCAGAACATGCAAACTATCTGTGAAAAAGGCAAGACGGCACCCTAAGCACCTGAATGTCAAGAAAGGATCCGACGAGATTAAGTGAGGTCCAGCCAGATACGTTCTGCAGTTGGGGATTGTACTGTCAAGGATTTGCATAAACGTGAGCATAGCGTTTCAACTATACCATCCCACCTGCCTACTTGCTGTATCACAACTGAATATGCAGGCCAAGAGGGAATGCTATGTTGGATGGCAACAGAGGAGACTGACGGTGATGCTGAGACCCTTGCTCACAACAACAAGGCTGTCAAAGCCTAGAATAGCGGTCAGAGCTGAATGTCCCTATTGCCATGTCGCGGATATTGGTGTGAGTATAGTAAGATCCGACAGGAAGGCGGTGTCCAAGGGCAATCGGACCGAGATATCCATGTGGCCTCCGATTTCCGTGAGCTTGTCGAAGCCAGCGATTTGCGAGAGGTTGTGATTTGCCTGATAGTACGTGCCCAAAAAAGATTCCGTGCAGGTCATACATAATGTGAGAAAAATTTGGGCCGAAAGCAAAGCGACAATGGGGAACATGGTGCTTGTGCTAAATCCAACCTTAATGATTAGGTCTTTGGCGAGAAAGGTGAGGTTGGACAAGGAGTCCAAGCGTTGAAGAGCCGAGTTTTTCTAGCAAATGCATCAAACGAAGGAAGATCAAATAGCATGCATCATGAGTTTGGAGCTGAAGATGCAGGGGATAGCTTGTGAATCGAGGTGTTTACAACAACAGCCACGGTGAAATGAACAAGGGAGGAGAGAGAATGAGACGATTGGCTGCACATAGAGGCTGGGGCATCAAGTCAAGCTGACCTTGACTGTGAACGTTCGCGCAATCGATGACAGGGTATCGAGGCCATGCAAACTGGTCAAGGCTGAGTTGTTCTAAGTATCAGAGTCAGAGCGGGGGCAGGCAGCCATAGAAGATTGCGATGTCATTCTTCTTCGCGAGGGAAAGGAGAAAGGGGGGCGAGAGACGTGCGGTCTCTGCACATAGAGTGGCTAATACAGACTTGAAGGGAAATATCTCGTCCTATTGTGGCCATTCCCTCAAATCCATCGAGGTTGGCGAGTAGCTGATTGCCCTGCAGCACCGATAGGCAGGATTGTCATGTGAAGCTTTGTTGTGGCGCCCTCGTCTGACCTGGTGCTCCGCAGCATCCGTGACGAACCTCAACTATGAGGTCAGTGCCGATGGCGCTCAATTTTGCCAGGGCCGCAATGTTGGTCAGCCATTGGTTATTCTGTTTCCGACGGGGAGATGGTGGGTGGGGTGAAGGGGACCGGATGCAGAATGGCGACAATCGACAATTGAGGGTGGTATCTGCATACCCGAATTCGCAGAGAACCGCCGATGAAAGCCAAATTCTGAAAGACAAATAGATCCTCGGCCACGAGTGCTGCACAGCCGTCCAAATCTACGGTGCCTTCTACACGCATGACGCCCGCAGGCACGGTGCTCAGGTTGCAGGATACGCTGCCTGAAAACACAATTGGTCTGGGGGTGGTGGTGGATGTTGGTGTGGCCGTTGTGGTCGTTGTGGTCATGATCTGATCATGAAGCAGGGTTACAGCATCGCGGAGGCCAGCCAGCTCCTCGAGCACGTCCACCCCATTGAGGAAGATAGGGCGTTGCAGGCTACCATTGATGTGCACGTTGCCAAGCTCATCGATGACGATGGTTGCGTCGCTTGGGTTCGGCATGGCAACCGGCAGCGCCATCAACGCAACCCCGCACACCAACCACCAGCCCCATACCGGCGCTCCCTGCACGACCGCCCCTCTTCTTGAACACACCATCCCTTCAATTGACGAACGACACATCTTCTTGCCTGCCCCCTCCTTCCCTCCCAAAAAAAAATTCACATGTCAAAAATTTCAATGCTGACATTCGTGTGTGTGCATTGTTTTTGGACGTTCGCATGTGTGAGAAGGGAGGATTTGCCTGCTGCTGTTGTGCTGGTGGAAAAGTCGCCGCGCTACGGCATCATGGCGCGATCTCTGCAGCAAATGTTTGGGTCGGGGCGAGCAAGTTTCCTGGCCGTGCCACGTCGTCCCTGGGCAGCCTACCAGTTTTGTGCTGCAAAACAATTTGGACCTTGCTTGCGCTAGAAACGGGGCCCGAGGGTTGCTGCTTGACTTCAATACCATGAGCTGGAACTGCAGGACTCGAACAGCTGCGCACGCTGCACCATGAGCACTTTATGACCAGCGGGGTAAAAGGGGCTCAGGCGACGCTCGACAAGATTGTGGCCTTTTTGGAGCTCTGCCATTCAGAGCTGCACTGGCTCGGTCTCTGGGGCGCGCTACTCGACACTCGGGCCGCACATACGGGCTCCCGGCGCGAGTGGTGGGCTGAATGAAACGCCCACGTCGGCTTGACCTCAACCGCGTGCCGCAGCCTGCTCGAGCCCTACGAGACGCACGCCAACGCGTTTGGATAGTCCCTCGACACCCAGCGCTCCTCTCTTCAGGGCTCGAATCCTCTGACAAATTGTCAATGTCAGATGAATCTGAGATCGACTTTGGCTATTGAATGAACCTTATTTATACCTGTCAAATCAATTTGTATAATTCGGGCCTCAGCAACCCGCCTCTGCCAAGTGGTCTCACACCTGGTAGCCGCCAACTTTGGCCAAAGTGTACCACACCATCACACTTGCCCAGCCACCTTGACACCCACGTTTATGCAGCAGCGTCCACTGCACTATACAACGGAACAACAAAAAGTCTCTCTCTCTCTTTCTCTCTTGCAGTTTTTTTGGTGGTCAGCAACAGGTTGGATAGCAAGAAAAAAAAAATACTTTTGATCTCTCTGGTTTCTCTGTGGTTGGCTTGTGTCTCTTGTCGCTGTCATCGTCTCTGCTCTATCTCTGCTTTTACCTGCATGTCTCCCTTTGTGTTCGTCTCTCGCCGCTCTCTGTCTCTGGATTGCTTCCACTCGCTGTCTGTCTCTCTGCGTATCTCGCCCTGTCTCTGGCTCGTCACCGTTGACGCGTTCGCCGGCAGCGTGTGTGTGTGTGTGTGTGCGGTTGATGCTCGAGTTGTTGGACTGTGTGCTTTGATGTCTGCTGCGACTCGCTTTTGAAGACGACGGCCGGCTCGAGAAGGGTGTGGGGTCGGGTGCTTACTTTTTCTCCCACTTTGACCCCGAAAGCACGTTGTGGTCTTGAGAGCGACTGGCCGACGTTGTGTGCGCGGCTGTCAACCCGTTTGATTGGCAACCGGGGCTGTCCTCACTGTTTCCTTGTTCCATGGTGGTAGTTTTGGCTTGTAGACCCTAGTAGAGACCAGGAACACACCCATCCGACAAACGCAACAGAGCAGCTCAGCCGCGCTCCCACCCACACACCGCCACCATGGCGATGCACATCCCCAAGGTCGGCCTTCAGACCATGATGAAGGATGGTGCCAAGGTACGCAAATTGCCTCTAGCAAACACCGGCTTCATTCCGTCCTTAATCCTAAAGAAGTTGGTCGTGCTCGTCGAAGTTGCGCCGTCTCCAACCTTCCTGCTCGACCCCGCAGTCGAGTCCTGGTCAACACTTTTTTTTTTCTTCTGCCGCAATCTTCTTTTTTTTTAAACTGTTTTGGCCTCTTCTTTCCGTTTCCGTGGTTGTGATGGACAAGGATTATCTCCTCATGGATGCATACGGCGCATGGATGCATCTGGCTCATGCTTGGCTCGTTTGCCCCTGTCACTGCAGCACTACTCTGGTCTCGAAGAAGCCGTGTATCGTAACATTAATGCGTGCAAGGAGATTGCCAACATTATCCGTTCCTCCTTTGGCCCCAATGGTATGCTCCAAGTGCCACAAACCGTAGCTGGCGGTTTTTCTTTTACCTTTTTGTTTCATGCAGCATTCCGCGCTTCAAGGCATTAGCTTGCTCTTACTCGACCCGGGCTTGTGCGCTGTGTCATGCCTCAGGCATGAACAAGATGATTGTGGATCACCTTGACAAGCTTTTTGTGACCAACGATGCCGCCACTATCATCCAAAAGCTCGATGTAGGCTGCCATGTGACTTCGTTCTGCTCTGTTGTGCTGTGATGCCCTCGGCTTGGTTCTCCAGTTGGGGTTTCTTCCAACCCGCTCATCGTTCTGGTGGTGCATGTGACAGGTCGAGCACCCAGCTGCCAAGATGGTCATTGACGCCTCGGGCCAACAAGAGCACGAGGCTGGCGATGGCACCAACTTTGTCATTATCCTGGCTGGCAAGATGCTTGAAAAGGCCGAACACCTCTTGCGCATGGTACGTGCCACGCACACATCTCGCAAACTTGGAAATACACATCAGACAAAAGCTCGTTCGTCTTCTCATCCAGATGACCCCCATGTGCAATCATGGATCCGTTTGCACATCAGGGCGTGGCTGTGGCAGATGTCATTGCTGGTTTTGAGATGGCCTGCGAAAAGGCTCAAGAGATCCTCGAGACTCTTGTTTGTCACACTGTCGAGGATCCTCGCGATGTCGAGGTCAGTCTTTTCGTTTTTTTCCCCTTCCCCTTCCTCTCTCTTTTTCTCTCGCCCTCTCTCTGCCCCTCCTTTTCTCAAGGGAGTTGCAGTATGGTTTCAGACAACCCTTGGTGTGCTACATCATGTTCACGTTGTTGTTTTGTGTAACCAACAGACGGTGGCCCAGGCCTTGGAAACGTGCATTGGCAGCAAGCAGGCCGGTCTGGAACAGTTCATTGCCAAGCTGGTGGCTGAAGCCTGCCTGCGCATTCTGCCCAAGGAGGCAACACGCTTGCCTTTCAACGTTGACAACGTTCGCGTTTGCAAAATCCTTGGCAGCGGTGTGACGAGCTCCACTGTCCTTCGCGGCATGGTCTTCACTCGTGGCGCGGCAGGTGTCGTCTCCTCTGCCGAGAACGCGCGCATGGCCGTGTACACGGCAGATGTTGACTACGGCTTTACCGAGACGAAGGGTACAGTCCTGATTAACTCGGCTGATGAGCTGAAGCAGTACTCAATCAACGAGGAACAACTCCTGGAGCAGAACATCAAGGGCATCAAGGATGCCGGCGTTGACGTCATCGTCACCAGTACGTGCCCCCACTTTATAAAAAAAACAAACCAAAAAACCGAAATCATTTGTTCCTTTGTGTCACTCCTGCCTGGTTTCCTTTGCTACACTTTTTTCCTCCCCCTGCTCATTTTGACCAATGCTGTTTTGTTTCACTGCGTGGTTCATCAGGTGGCAAGATCGGAGACATGGCGCTCCACTTTTGCAACCGCATGGATATCATGGTGGTCAAGACCAACTCCAAGTTTGAGCTCAAACGTCTTTGCCGCGCCACGCGCACCACCGCCTTGCCTCGCTTCTCGCCCCCCGCTCCTTCGGAGATTGGTCATTGCGATCACGTCGAGCTCAAGGAGATTGGTGATACTACCGTAACGATTTTCCGTCAAGACGACGTGCAGAGCGCCGTCTCCACGATTGTGATTCGCGGTGCTACCGCCAACATCATGGATGATGTCGAACGTGCCATCGATGACGGAGTCAACAACTACAAGGCCCTCACACAGGACGGCCGCTTTGTGCCCGGTGCGGGTGCGGCCGAAATCGAGTTGGCCCTGCAGCTGTCCTCTTTTGGTGATACTTGCGCTGGTACGACTTGCAGAAGCACGCCCGTGAACGCCCGCCCAACATCCAACCACGTTGATGCAGTGACTTTGATTCCCACGGACTTTGTTTTGGCTTACCATGTGCCTGTGCCTGCTCGTGTGTGCGTGGTGTGCTTCAATCAGGTCTGGAACAGTATGCCATCAAGGCCTTTGCAGAGGCGTTGGAGGTCGTGCCTCAGACTCTGGCAGAGAACGCCGGCGTCAAGCCCAAGGAGCTCGTGTCCAAGTTGTATGCCGCTCACCAGGGTGGCAACAAGAACGCTGGCTTTGACAATGACACTGATTCCAGCGAGGACATTAAGGACGTGGTTGCGGCCAACATTCTCGACCTTTATCACACCAAGCGCTGGGGCATTACCTATGCCACCCAGGCAGCGTGTACCGTCCTCCGTGTGGATCAGATCATCATGGCCAAGCGTGCCGGTGGCCCCAAGCCTCCCAAGCAGGGCAACTACGACGAAGATTAAGGTCACAAGCGCCAAGACGTTTGTGATTGAAACCTCATGTACAGACACTGCATCAGTCCGAATGACTACCCCTGAAGACGGGAAGGGAGACGGCATTTTCGCGCGCTCGCTCGATTTGAATGCCTGGCCGTTCTTGTTTTCTTTTTGCCAAACGAAATTTAAAAGCCAAAAAATCGAACAGCTTCCACATGAACGTGTCAGTGAATGGATGGTTTGAGGGCAGATACCTCACGTTGTCTGAAGGAGCGGCATTTTTTACACACACTGGGGATCCATTGATTTCCGTGATCAATTTTTTTACATCGTGTTAGAAAAACAAAAAAAAGTCTGTAGTATGTGGTTGGTCAACGCTTAGAGCTCGTCGTGCGTCTCGCCCTCGACATCGCCCTCAATGTCAACCTCCTCCTCATCGTCCTCCTCGACCTCAGCCTCGTCGCTCTCCGCCTCCTCAACGGGCAGCTCTGGCTCCTCCTCCACCTTGGCATCCAGATCGACGCCGGTGTTGGCGCGCAGCATACGCTCGATGCGCTCAGCAAATGCGACCGAATCAGGGAGCATGTAGCCAGAGCGCAGGCGCGCCGTATCCAGCAGCACCTGGGCCGTGTTCATGAGTGTGCTATCAACTGTCTCACCCTCCTCCTTGTTTTCCTCAAGCGCAGCACGCTCCAGCAGGTTCTTGATCAACGGATGACGGGGGTTGATCTCGAGCGTCTTCTTCTGAGACATGTAAAAGTTGCTGGCCTCATCACCCTTGGAGTAAGCCTGGGCACGCATGATGCGTTCCATGTTACCAGACATGCCAAACTGACTAGCCACCAGGGCGCAGGGCGACTCGGAGAGACGATCCGAAACAACGGCCTTCTCAATGTCCTCCTTCAGAGCCTCACCCAAGAACTTGGTCAAGGGTGCAAACTGCTCGTCAAGCTCCTCCTTACGAGCCTTGGCGGTCTCGGAGTCACCGTCGAGCTCAAGACCCTCCTTGGCAACGTTCTGGAACTTCTTCTCCTCAAAGTCGGGCAGGTTCTGAATGGCGTACTCGTCAATGGGCTGGGTGAAGTAGAGGACCTCATAGCCGCGCTTGAGCAGGCGCTCAACAAAGGGCGACGTCTCGGCCTCCTGACGAGAGCCGGCGGCAATGAAGAAGATCTTGTCCTGGCCCTTCTTCATGCGCTCAATGTAGTCCTCCAGGCTCGTCTGCTTCTCGGCGTCATGGCTGCTCTCAAAGCGCAGCAGCTTGGCGAGGCGAGTGCGGTTGGCGTAATCCTCAATCAAACCGAGCTTGATGGAGGTACCAAACTCAGCCCAAAACTTGGCATACGTCTCGTCATCCAGCTTCTTGAACATCTCCAGGGCCTTGCGCACAAGCTTCTTGCGAATGACCTTGAGCAGCTTGTGCTGTTGCAGGGTCTCACGGGACACGTTGAGCGGCAGGTCATCCGAGTCAACGACACCGCGCAGGAAGTTCAGGTACTTGGGCATCATGTCCTCAAACTCGTCGGTAATGAAGACACGGCGCACGTACATTTTGATGCTGCCCTTGCCCTTGCCGTAGTCCTGGTAGAAGCCCGGGGGAGCGGCCGAAGGGATGTAAAGGATGGAGCGGAAGGTAACCTCACCCTCGGCAGTAAAGTGAATGTGACCCAGCGGGTCCTTGCCATCCTTGGAGAAAGCCTTGTAAAAGTTGTTGTACTCTTCCTCCTCAATATCCTTGCTGTTGCGTGTCCAGATGGGCTTGTTGGCGTTGATGATCTCCCAGTCCCAGACAGTCTTGGTCGTCTCGACGGCGACGTTCTAGGGGGCAGCGAGACGACGTAAGTGAGTGCTGTTTGCGTCAAGATATAGAAAGAAGAGCAACGAGAGACAGTCGGTGGGGAGGGGAAAAAACAAAAACAGAAAAAAAAACAAAAACGATTGTATGTGTCTGTGTGTGCGAACTTCGAGCGGGCATTCATGTCCAAGTTCGGGTCAAAAACTGCACAAACGTACCTCTTCATCATCCACCTCCTCATCCTCTTCCTCGACAATATCATCCTCTGAGTCGGCTTCGTCATCCTCAAGCTCAGCCTCGGCCTCCTCGGCCTCAGCCTCCAGCTCAGCGGGGTCAACCTCCACGGTCTTGGAGGTGTACAGGTAGATGTCAAAGTTGATAAACTCAGAGTACTTCTTGATCAGGTCGCGAACGGTGTTCTCCTCCAGGAACTCGGCAGCCTCGTCCTTGAGGTAGAGGGAGATGCGAGTACCACGGCCAAGTTGCTCGTCTTCACGGGGGTCCTCAACAATGCTAAAGGAGGAAGCGTCCGAGGTCCAGATGTGCTGCTTGTCGTCGTTGTGCTTGGAGGTGACGACAACGGTATCGGCGACGAGGAAGGCCGAGTAAAAGCCGACACCAAACTGGCCAATGAGGTTACCCGTATCACCGCCCTCGGCAACCTTGGCCAGAAACTCGCTGGTGCCCGACTTGGCGATGGTACCGAGGTTCTTGGTGAGGTCCTCGCGGGTCATACCGATACCCGTGTCCGTAATGTGCAGCACCTTGTTCTCCTTGTCCACATGAATCTTGATGTGAAGGTCCTCCAGATCGCCCAAGACCGACTTGTCGGTGAGGGAGAGGAGGCGGATTTTGTCCAGAGCATCTGATGCGTTGGAGATGATCTCACGAAGGAAGATGTCCTTGTTCTTGTAGAGCGAGTGGATGATGAGCTTCATCATGCGGCTGACCTCAGCCTGGAACTCAAACTTGTCAGCCTTGTCAGCCAAGATCTTGCTCTCATCTGCGCTCATGCCATCAAGGGTGATGGCACGCTCGGCACGAGCCGCGGCATCACCGTCAGCGCCCCCCGCGGCAGCAGAGGCCTCGGTCGAAACATCAGGAATTTCCTCAATCTCGATATCCGTTACATCGGCAGCAGCGCCCTTGATTGCCACACCTAGGAAACAGACGGCGGGATGAGGTGAGGTGAGGTGAGGATGACGGGTGCAAGCTTTGAGCCATAACTAGAGCTAGAGAGTGGGAGAGAGGGGCTGTGGGGTGATGCAGCTTACCAGGCAGCAGGACAAGAGCCAGCGCGGCCAAGGCGGCCAGCACATAAATCGACCGCATCGTGCCTGCCCAAACCGACACAAGCAGCCGTCAGGTGAGCGCCATCGTCCCACCAACGGCAGCAAAGGTCGGCATAACAACGTCAACACACGACGGGCCCCCGACGAGCAACGCGCACCGAGGAACGCACCTTATTCCAATCGATCGACGCGACGAGAAAAATAACGCGCAGCCGCAGTCAGTCAGTCAAGTTCAGTGGGATGTTCTTTGTGTGTGTGTGTGTGTGGGAGGGGCGTTTTGTCGACTTTTCTCTGATTTTCCCGCCCCTTCTCCTCTTCTCTTCTTTGCTCCCCCATCTTAAAAGCACGTGTACCTTATAAAGCACGCACGTCTTTTGTTCTTCTGGGAAATGATTTGTCAGCAGAAGCTTGCTGGAACGGAGACACTTTTTCACCTGTTCATCGAGACAACTTCGGTCACGTACCAAGTGTCATCCCTTATGGTTTGACCGTTGAGATTCGTTCTTCCGTTACAATTTCCGTTGCATTTTCCTTCTCCTCAACGGTGAGTCCCCACCCTTCCTCATTCCTCGCATGCGCTGCCATTTATTGATGCGTGAACCATCTCACCTTGCCTTTCTTTTCTTTGCGTGCAGCCATTATGGCGACTCCTTCTCCGGTGTCTTGTGCAATCTGCAACATGCTTGTCTCGGATTCCAATGAGCAACGCCATGTTCAAACGCACCATTCCACTCCACCCGATCTCCGCCGCCCTTCCGAGTGCTTTCCTTCTCTGAACTGGATTGACTGTCCTGCGCCAGGATGTGTGTGCTCAATGCGCAAGGGCGATCCGCTGATGGCGCACTACATTGAAAGCCATCCTGTACATGCCAACGAAAATTTGACCACCTTTTTTCCCAGCGCTGTTTGCTGCGACTGCGGCCACTGGTCCTTTAATCGCGTCTGCGCCAAAAGGCATCGCTCTATGAAGCATCGTGATGCAATAACGCATCCCCCCAAGGTCAGCTCCCGCGTCTTCGTGCTCGGACATGCACTACGC